ACTCTGAATACCAACTGCTTTAAACAGTTATTTAGTATTTGAAAGTTTTATTCCAAAATTCAGCATATTTTCTTGGATTTTTTAAAAAAATCTTTAATTCTGTGCTACATTACCTAAACATGCTACTTGTATAGGGTTTTTTGGGGGTTGGATACTATTTTTTTGTGTGAAAAAATGTACTTCTTTTCCTTGGAATACAGTGATCTGAAATTGATTCCTTCTCACTTCTCACTGATGAAATTAGTAAGAATGAATTGTATTTAAGACAAGCCCATTCTTTAGCACCCAGATTGTGTTCTCTAAACATCATTTCCCACTCCAAACAAATCAGCATTCCTTGGAGAAATTTTAAGTCTGGGGGAGGAATTGTACACAGTAAGTCTGAAATGTCCTGTTCTAGCAAGAAGCTAGGAGCCTATCCTAATTTACTAGTTCTGTGGCAGAAAGTTTTAGAAACTGTGTTTGTGTTACCAGACCAGGTTCTTGTGTCCAGAATTGTTAGAATGAGACCTCACCCAAAGGAATACAGGCACAGGACAAGTCTTGTATCAGGATTTCTCACACAGTAAGAGAGTCAGCTCTGATAAATGGCAAGTCAGGCAGGTGGCTCCTTGAACAAAGGGAAAGGGATACCTGATAGGGGCATGCTTCCCACCAAAAGTTCCCATCCAGGTCCTTTGCAATAAAGGGACTCAGACCTGCAGAGTACCCCATCCTGGCTGGGCAGAGTCTGAGCTCTGCTGTAGGCATCTGGTTGGTCAGCTTGGAATGCCAGGCGATGCAGGTTTTCTGGAGGGGCATCCTTGCTTGTATTTGTTAGTGGGATATGTTTACAGCTGGTGTGTTTTTAAATTGAGGTTCCCTTCTCCCCACAACTGCCGGCATTTGTTAGTTTTTTACATTTGATCTTAACCAAAAGGCTGAGAAGCGATTTGTTAATCAATTTTTTGATGAGAGATTTTGTATAGCTCAGTTTACCTTTTTTTTTTTTCTTTTTTCTTCAGTCCTTTGGGAGTTGGCTTAAAAATTTTTGCCTCCATCAAGGTCAAAGATATTTTGCTATGGCTCTTCCTCCCATGCTTTTCACATTTAGATCGGGACTCTGGAGTTTTCCTTTGTGAAATGTGTAAGGTTAGGGATTGTTACTAGCTTTGCTGTGGTTAGGACACAAAACCCAATGCCCACAGCTTAAAGGAGGAGAGGTTTAATTTGGTTTAGGATTTTAGAGGATTCATTCCATGGTCAGCTTGGCTCCAAGGCAAGGACATCATAGTGGGAAGGGCCTGGCAGAGGAAAGTTCATGGTGTCTGGGAAGCAGAGCAGGGACACAGTGCCAGAGAGAAAGGGGTGAGGGGCCAGATGTAGAACCCAAGGTCGTGCTACCATGACCTGCCCACAAATACGCTTCACTGATTCCTTCTTCAGCTTCTGAGCCAGTCAAGTTGACACAGTTAAGCTCACCTACCACAAGTGTCAGGACGTTTTATTTGGGAATTTCCAGTTGCTTCAGCATTTTTGTGTAGTAAAAGATCGTCTTTTCCCTCATTGCCCTTGATACTACTTTTATCATAAGTCAGGAAATCTTATTTGTATCAGAGTATTTATAAACTTTTTAATTGATGAGTTTTAATTACTACAGGTATGTAATATATTTTTATGTTTGAATGATATATGATGTAGAGGCACAACTACGCTCAACAACTAGGCCACACACCAATAAGTCTGACAGGAGACTTTCTTCGGGAAGGCAGGTCAAGGAGAGAGGGGAGGAGGAGGAGGAGGAGGAGGGGGAGGA